TATATCTATAATTAGTATTGTCTTACAGTTAATACCGTACAGAATGAGGCCGAAATACGATTGTTTATAGACCGATGCCGGCCAAGTTTCAATAACCAGTAGAAAGAGGACATAATTCTGTACAAGATATGAAAGTTTTAAAAAATGCTATAGAATTGCAGCGGAGAAATTTTAGTTTAAAATGCTATTCTTGACAGTGCGTGCGCGCTATGTATGTATAATTAGTGTTGTCTTACATATTAGTACAGTATAAGGCCGAATTTCGATTGTTTATAGATTGATGCCGCCCAAGGTTAAATAACCAGTGGAAAGAGGAGATAATTTTATACAAGATATGAAAGTTTTAAAAAATCCTATAGAATAGCAGCGGAGAAATTTATAGTTTAAAATGCTATTCTTGACAGTGCGTGCGCGCTATATATCTATAATAGGTATTGTCTTACAGTTAATACCGTACAGTATAAGGCCGAATTTCGATTGTTTATAGATTGATGCCGCCCAAGGTTAAATACCCAGTGGAAAGAGGAGATAATTTTATGCAAGATATGAAAGTTTTAAAAAATCCTATAGAATAGCAGCGGAGAAATTTATAGTTTAACATGCTATTCTTGACAGTGCGTGCGCGCTATGTATCTATAATTAGTATTGTCTTACATGTTAGTACAGTATAAGGCCGAATTTCGATTGTTTATAGATTGATGCCGCCCAAGGTTAAATAACCAGTGGAAAGAGGAAATAGTTTTATACAAGATATGAAAGTTTTAAAAAATCCTATAGAATAGCAGCGGAGAAATTTATAGTTTAAAATGCTATTCTTGACAGTGCATGCGCGCTACACTGTTATTTTCAGGGAGTTAAAATAACTCCGGAAAAGGGGGTTAGCAAAAAAGGTTCAAAATAATCCGTTTTTTGGGGTTAGAAATAACTCCATTTCTGGGGTTAAAATGTAATTCCACTTTTGGGGTTAATCTAACTCTCATATTGGAGTTAAAATCTAACCCCTATTCAGGAGTTAAATAATTTTAACTCCATTTCAGGAGTTAAACCGGCACTCTTGAAGACTTTTCCTCATCTTTTTAATTATTTTACACATTTTAAATGTTATGAAAACCAAAACCATGAAAAAACATCACTCAATTTTCATAACATTAAAAATTGCGTAGAAATAATTAAAAAACGAGGTAAAATCTGCCAAGAGCGTTAGTTTACGCGGAACGCTTTCTAACGACGTAATGCAATTACTTCGTAAAACGGGGAAGTATCGAGAAACCTAGCAATCAGTCTAATTATACTAAGTCAACTGCTTCATCTAATACAAAACGTACGCGAGAAAGTTTTCTGTGAAATATATTTTATACCAACTAGCCATGTATTTCAAGAAATAAAGTTCTACAACTTGTTTTCAAACCATGCATCATTGACACATTAAGTTACTGTCAAATTTAAATGTCCACATACATTTGTCAAAGACAACAAGTACTATTACAATGTTAGAACTTCAGTAAATGTACAGTACAGTACCTTGAACCTTTAGTTACATATGGTATCATCCTGATTATAGTAACAGACGAAGCAAGATATTTCCTAATCTTGCATGCAATTGAATTAATAATTTCATCTCAGTGAATTACTACTGAAATTAACTCATTAATGCCCAACATTTCTCCCTTGACAAGTAAATTTTCTTGTATATAGACACAGTAAACTGACAAAGTACTGTAGAGCACATTAAGCCATATGCATTATAGCTTTATGGACTGTAATTTGCCCTGGATTTTTGAAATTGAAAAGTAGGAATTATGTTGTTTGTTAGCCCATTACAAGCAAGGTGCTCTGTTTATTACTACCTGTATGGCAATAATACTTGATTGCCTCACACCACAAATTTTACTTGTCAAAGAGAGGCAGCTTTGGCATGTACAATGAGACAAGGATATGGAAAAAACAAAGACTGTATTAAATTAATCAGTATACAGTAGACCCCCTTGCTAAAGAAATAATGTTGCACGTAGGCAGCAAATAAATAAAGTGCCTGTCATTACATTCGCCCAGAATGTGTTGATGGTGACCCTTTTTCGATGGTGATCCTTTTTTGATGAATTTATTTATACAGCATGACATAGTTGACACTTATCGACATCAAACCAACTCAAGATCTTGATATAAGACAATCGGTTTCAAATGGCCAGTTATAGGCATCATCATGACCATATATAATCCATATCCAGGATGGCAAATGTGAAGATTGTACTACGTCTGAGACACATTTTACTATTGGTTTTCTAAGTTGTGACTTGAGTATTCATAGCTGCAAAACCTGGCAATGTTCATAGAGGAACTTATTTCATATTATAATATTTATATCAAACTAGTTTTTCATGGTTCTGAAATGGAATTCATAGAGGAAGCCATTGTCAGTTGCCTTTGGGTCCTAAAATTCTTAACACCAAATAATTGTGAGACTGTACTGAGGGTCTCCCAGGGCTGGTTTTAGGAAACCAGAGAACAATGCATATTTTGCAATCAGAATTCAAAGAAAAAAAATGATAAAAAAACAAGGGACCATAAAGTTGGGAAAACAAGGAAACATGGTGAAATCTTTGTGGGGGAAAAAGGAAAAATTTGCAAGGGAATACATATCCAGGCCCAATAAGATACCATAGCTTTATACTCTACAGTGAATAAAAATAATAGTTTTCACCTTAATTATTTGAAGCTCGAGCCATCACTGGTGCTGCAAAGAAAGCTATGACCAATTCTTCTTCTACTGAATAATATAAAAAACTTGTATCAGATTCTAAAATATAAAACCTTCATCACGTTTCAAAGGTTGTCCTCTTTTGACTATAAATGTATTGCATTTTATAGATTTTATACACAAACAGAAGCTAATTTTTATGAAAAACAGGGCAGATTTCGGCAGGTACAAAACGCAGGTTGCAGGTTTGAATTTTGCAGGTTGGGAATTTTGCAGGTTGGAATTTTGCAGGTTGGCGATTTTGCAGGTTGGAATTTTGCAGGTTGCCAGGAATTTTGCAGGTTGATGTTGCAAACTTAAAATTACACCACTATAAAGTATTCTAGTATAATTTAATTGTGTACTTATTGCAGTCTGACTCCTTGTCGGCGCTTTTGATATCAGCCTATCCTGCTACAATGTTCCTAGCTTTTGCTCTAAGGAGTGGCCATCATCCTTGTGAAAACATTCAAAATGACCAGATTGGCTTGGACTTTCAGGGGGACGGATGTTTCGATTGTTGCGAGGAGCCTATATGACGTGGTGGCAGTCCAGAAAATGCCTGAATGAGGTGTCTCTCCTCTGCACCCACTTATGAGAAGTCTACTCAAGCCCCCATTACCGTATCATTACTCGAGAGTTAGTTAACGTTTAACAACATTCTAGTATAAACGCCGTGACGTCATGTAGGCATCTCGCAATAATCAAAACATTCGTCTCCCTGTAGGTCCAAGCCAATCTGGTCATTTTGAATGTTTTTACGGGGGTGATGGCCACTAGCCTTAGAGCAGAGGCTAGGAACATGGCAGCAGGGTAGGCTGATATCAAAAGTGCCGACAAGGAGTCAGACTGCAATAAATGCACAACTAAGTTATACTAGAATACTAAAAAAGTGGTGTAATTTTAAATTTGCATTATCAACCTGCAAAGTTCCTGGCAACCTGCAAAATTCCAACCAGCAAAATCCCCAACCTGCAAAATTCCAACCTGCAAAATTCCCAACCTGCAAAATTCCAACCTGCAAAATTCCAACCTGCAACCTGCGTTTTGTACCTGCCGGGGCAGATTTCGTCCTGGTTTATTTGACAATGGGGTAAACTGCTATTATGAATAATACTTTGAACCGTCTTTCTCAAGAAAGGCTGCCTTCCTTCTGGAAAAAACACGCCTGGCACATCATGTAAAAGTTGCTGAAGGTCCATTTCAGTCTTAAAAGAAAGAAATACTATTCCAATCTGCACTAGAAGGATTTTAAATGTTGACAGCCTGGACAGTCGCCGTGTGTTCAGCCTGTTTAAACGCGAAACC